GGATCTTCCAGAAGCTTTTGGTTGTTAGTACCCACATCGAGCATAACTGGAAGTACCTTTTAAAAATGAAAAGTTAAAAAGTTTAAAATTGACTTATACACATATCAAGATAAGGTGTAAAACAGGATATGGAGAAGATATAATTGAACAGAAGTATCATAGTCATACCCTCTGTGGGTTCATTCCTGCAGCAGCAACATATACATCAAGTTTCCCAATAGGTATACCAATTCCCTGAACTCCAAGATCTCCTAAACCGAGAATTCGGCTGCCATCTGTGACGACTATCATATCAACCTGCAATTGCATGAGTAATTAGCAAGACATGGAAAGTGATATTACCACTATTACCTTATCTTCTACTATCCACCAAGCAATCATTTACTTCGTGCTCAGGTAGTTTGAGATATATCAGAGACCATTCAATGTGTTAGATATGTTCTAATTCTGCTGTACATTAAAATTAGAAAACAAATTTTTAAAAAAAAATTGAGCAAGATACCAGACTTCAACTTGGAAAATTTAAAAAGTAAAGAATGATAATAGCTGATGTGCAATGAATTGACTAAAGGACATACGTGTTGAGCAGGCCAATTATAGATCATGGACATCATCTCTCCCTTGTCCTTGGCGCTGAAATACATTCCACGAGGACGTCTGAACAAACCGGAATAATTTTGACACACCAGCCCTACAGTTGGAGTATATATGATGGGAGCGAAGTCTTTGATATTATCAATAAGGACCTGAATGCAATGACCGAACTGTCTCAGGTCATAACTGATTCAAAACCTGTGGTAAGAAATCATGAAACTTACTCTGTAATATAACGTCTCATTCCTGTCATGCAGTCTGTTCAAAATTCTCCATTTTGCCAAAGATACAGAAGCCTCTGGCTGCCCCTGAGTATTTTTCTCCAGTGATCGATATGAATCCACTGTAATTCATAAATCAACAGAATATACACATTAACATACTTAATATGTATCACCAAAGACAAAGACTTTGATTCGTCAAACAAAACAAATATAATACTTTGTGCAAATTAAGACCTTTTCACCTTAAATAAAAGAAAGTTCACTAAGAATAAGCTTAATGAAAGTAGAGGATTATTTCACATTAGGGCTACCAAGTTCATTCACAACTAGATATAAGTTTAGATTAGTTCTAAAGAAGGCTAGATAAGTCTTGATAAGGGGTCTTCAGGTGAATGAAGCCTTAATTGGGACTAACCCTTGAAGAGATATAGGGAATGTAAATTGCAGTTGAACTTTTCACAAAAATTTCATTACTCAGTTGCTCTAATGAACCAATGTTACATTGATAGCATATCATCCTCTCTGACTAGCAAAGACTTCAAACCAAACTGTTTCTCATTTATAATTTGACTAAGAAGCAAGTTATCGAACTCTTCTTTCCAGCTGCAAATACCAACACAAGATACTTTCTTACTTAAAGTCAAATTGCATAGTGTAGCTAAAGTTATGACTCAACTACCATGCATTTCCAATGAAAAGACTTTAGTAAACACATCATATACAACTATAAGGTGAGCCTTTGCAGATTTGTTAGCAGAGTGTAGTCCAAGGTTATTCAGTAGAGCTGATGATACGTAGCACATGCAGATTTCACTTTCATATTTAATCAAATAATGTCAAAAGGATGGGCAAAAAAATAAGATATTTGTGTAGATAATAACTTGAAAACAGTCATGAAAATCCTCTTAGTCCATATTTTTTTGTTATACCAAGTTATACTCAAAACCCCCAGGGAATATAGCTACATCTGCTGTTCTTCATCAACTAGTCATTACACAGAGACAGATAGTAAGAAAGCTGGGATAAGTACATTAGACAATTAATGGTTGATTAAGTCTCAATTCTATCTAAATTAGTAAAAAATATATAATACACCACTTGTGGAATTTTCAACCATATTCTAGAAGTACAAATGGAGATTGTACCGAAAAAGCTATCAAAAAAAATAAAAATTAATAAAAAAAAATAAATAAATAAAAACTCAAGATATAGTAGGCATAGTTAAAAGGGAATGGGACTTACTGAAACGGGCATACTGTTGTTCAAATGAAATAATACGAGGTGGCAGGAGACCACGAAGCCCTAGTCGATCTCTTTCTGTCAAAGGGAATGCAGTATCCTGCTCAAAAAATATTTGAAAAATGCAAACAACTAAATTTAAAGTTTCTCTTGTATGCTTGTAGCAAAACAAGTAATCAAGTACTAGGATCAATATAAGTTTTAAAAACAAAAAAAAGTTTTTTCATGGCAAGATAGATGATGAAGGCAAATTAAATGAACTTAGACATAGTGTGTCATTAAGGTATAAATCTATAATAGTGATCTAAGCCAAAAGGCTAATCACTTGACATAGTTGCCATTGAAAATCATGTCTAAGTGCATTGCTCAGACACATAAGTCCTTCTCTTGCACTATTATACAAAAAATTGGTACCAGTTTACAGCAACTCACAAGTAATACATGTTAAATCAAATTTTTACATCATAAGGATGAATTACAGATTGCTGTTAGTTTACAAGATTTTCCTTGCATCTCAAAAGCTTTATAGATGTGACAAGAAACAATCGATACACAATTCGAGTCCCAACGCGTGTCCAAATCAAGGCGAGACTTCCATAAACACAACACAGGGTGCCCTGCCCTTATCATCACATATCTCCCAATTATTTCCTCATTTAGCATTAATAACATCTAAACAAACTTCCACTGCCAGAAGCAATAAAACTACAACTTCAAGCATATATTCAATTAATCACTCCATTCCTTAAATCCAGTAAATTCACATAACAATCTCCAATTTGACTTAAGTTAACATTATGTAAAATCACACAAATATGATTAATATCATATTACCAAGTCAAAAAACATTTTGAAACTTTGACTTGCATATCTGATTAAAATCAATCAAAAATCAATCACAATGTCTTAAAATTGACACAATCAACTCATCAAATATCCTGAATTCAATCAGATTTTCACAAAATCAACAAAAAATTAAAATGCCTAAAAAATCAACCTTATTAAACCAAGGATCATGAAGAATATCAGCACCACGCTTATGCACCATACATGGACCAGGAATCGTAGCAGCCACGGAAAACCGCCGCGTACGGCGGAGATTCGCCGCCGCAGATCGAGTAACTCTCCACATTTTCCAAAAATTATTCACTACTGAAAAACGACATCAAATCAATCACATTTTTAGTCATCAAAAAATATAATCAATCAATCACAAAATTAAACACAAAATAAAGTTTAAATTTATGAATTAAAATTAAAAGTGACGAAGAACATAAGTTTACCCAGTAAAGAAGAAGAAGAAGAAAATCAGAGGAGAGAGAAAAAGTGAGAATGTGTCAATAAATTTCTGTCGTAAGTGCATTTATATAGTGAGCTCAGTATTGGTGACTTTGTTCTTTGTTTCAGAGGAGTGAATGAGTCTGAGCTGCCCGGAATGTACGGGCAGAGATTTTGGATAGTCGGTATTCGGTAATGGGGCTGCCCGTTTGAAAAACGGGTAGAATATGAGAATTGTGATAGGTTCCTGGAACTAGATGTTTATTGGACAGGTTTTACTTGGGGATCATCTTTACTAATTGTGGAAATTTTTTATTTTTTTTTATTTAAAGTAAATAGTGAAATGGAGATTTTACCATTATATGATATGGAAAGAGTAATAATTATTGAGTATTTTATAATAGATTATTTCCTTTGTTTTCCTGATATTACAATAATTACTCTGTATTATTTAGAAAGTTTTGAAAATATCGCAATGTTTTTTTTTATGCACATGATTTCTCTCTATCTATCCTCATTAGAGTCATCATTGTCTCTTATCTTTTATTTAACTATATCTCTTTCAGATTTCTAAAAAAAAAATCTCTATCTCTTTCCTCTTTTATATACTTCGTATGTCTTTCCCCTACCCAATGTTGTAATATTAGGAAAATGGAGGAATTGAGGAAGTAGTTTCCATAGAAACAAATACAAAGATAATATAGACACTAAACACATACTAAGGGAGTAATAAAAATAGCATATATAAAAGGGCATTTTTTTAGTGGACGTCTTTATGCAGCAATTAATTATAAAAAGTTTCACAATTTAGGGTATATAAATGTATCTGTTATCATTAGTTGAACGAGCATCTTTTATGTCTTTCACAAATTTTTATATGTGGCTGGTTACATCTTTTATGTCTCACACAAAAAACGCGCTAACTGACTGAGTAAGTAACCCCTACAAGTAACCCCTAAATAACTAAACCCTACAAGTAACCTCTGTCACGCAATGTGGTCAGCCACACAGAAAAGTTGTTGTATATCTTTAATGTTAGAATGGCGTTAATTTGTAATGTTCACTTTACTCTAAGGTAGAACCAGAAGGATCCATATTATGATGTTTAGTAGATAAGTATACGTAATTAAAATGTTAGCTTTTTATTTCAAAAAAAAAAAAAAAAAAAAAAAAAAAAAAAAAAAAATAGAAGGAAAAAAATAAATCTTTGAGAAGAGTGGACAAAAAAATATTTCGACTATAACTTTTTTTCTACGGTAACATTTACAATTTCTACATAATAATATTATAAATAACTACATGCCTATTAGGTCGGGGGTGAGAATTGATCCCGGGATCATCTGAAATCAGGAGGGAAGCTCTAACCACTTGAGCTATCCCTCCCTCTCGAGACTTGAGTATACTTAGTAGTAGGTAAATATCGCTATACAACCAAGTGATTAAAAGGTGGAAAAAGTTAATGAGAATATAGCTTCCTGTGGGCAACTTTTCTTCCATAGAAAACTTAATCAAAATTTGTTCCAATATAATCAAATTGATGGAGCAATTCTTTTGGCAAGCAGAATAAATCAAAATAATATAAATAGAAACCAACAGAACCAAAGCATAAATTGTCTCTTGCCTGATTTGGGGTTAAGGTTGTGTTTTCCAATTTTCAACCCCTTACATGACTTTTATCAAGCCAGTGCCACTGTGCCAGTATTCTTTACGCGGCGACCATTGCACGCCATTGGCAAAATAAGTGATGCTGATATTTTAGCATAAAAAAAGGGGGAAGTAATGTTGGTGTATATGCATAATTGGGTATCAATCACGGAAGATGATTATTATAAAAGGCCCTACGAGTAATTCAGTAGAGCTTTTAATCTTTTTGAGATACATGTTCTTGATCAAAGTATCTACGTATTATAAAGTTAATCGTACAATCAAATTCTTAATATGAGTGGTTTTGTTGGCATCGAAATACATGAGAATTACCACTTCCTAGGAAGTACCCATAAAAGATTTGATGTATTAGTTTGGTTAACATGATCATCATGAGTTGAACTATGAGTTGAACTTCTACCGTCACTAAATGGAATAATTTGTGTAACTAATCCCTTGGGTACGTAAAACTTCCCACGAAAATTCCAACTTATGTTAAACCAAACAATTCTGCTCACCCTCTAGAAGTGAAACTCTGTAAAAATCACAACTTCAAGAGAAGTGCAACATGCAACATATTGACCATTTATTTGATATTCATTATTTGTTCTCGTCACAACTGAGAACAAATTTACGTTTTACCAGAGAAAGGTTTCCTGATTGTACTTTTACATTACCTTAACAGTTAAGGAATAAATCCCATACTATTTTGAGCATTGTGGGTAGACTATTGAACCACAAGCTCAACCTTCAAAAGCAAATCTTTTACAGAGTCCATTCTCCATCTCTCCTTTTTTCAGATTTCCCCCTTGAGAATATGCTCAGAATAAAAGGTGATGACTCCAATTAAACCTCTTCGTTATAGGGAATGTTGCGACTTGTCCACTTTCCATATATAATAATGTTGTCATGCAGCTGCTAATCTATACACAGGAATACAGGATAGAGCGAATTTGAATAAATGTTTAGTTCTGTTGGTTTAAATGTCAGAAAACAAAACATGGTCACTGTTGGTCTCAAATCCCTCGTACCTTTCTGCCTTCCCTATCCTCCAGTCTCCACAGGCGGAATTAGATGCTTTAGAAGAAAAGCATGAACAAGTTTTGAAATGACGCACTTATTCCATCATCTCGTCTAAATGACAGGACGTTAGATGTTCTAGAATCAGATCCTACCATAAGAGTTATGTGAAGAATGGAAATAATCTAAAACCGTCTAAACCTATGCAAGTGTGCGACTGAGAGGCCATGCCTTCATGAGAATCATTTCAGGAGGGAAGTAGCGAAATGCAGTTAAAGAGAAAAGGGAAAAAAAAAAAAAAAAAAAAAAAAAAAAAAAAAAAAAAAAAGAGGAAACATGGTCTAACAAGCCTGAAATTTCTGGAGTGACTGATAAACAATAAGCATTGAAATCTGAATAAAGCTCAAGTCAAAGTAATTTGTCTATTGTATAGGAGCAAAATCTAGTACCAAAGTTATACCTAATGTTTAGTGTCCAAACCTAACCCTATTTTATCTAATTATATCTCCAAAATGCTTTTAAAATGACTTAGCCAGGGCCCAGAGGGATCACATATCCAGCCAGCTATGCCCAAATCAATGACAATGTGCATCATCAGCAGACAGCCAGAAACTAGTATAATAGAAGACCGAAAAGAGGGGGAAGATTAGGTTACAGGCCAAGATAGTAGCAGTTAATCACTCTATTCAACAAAGTAATTTCCTGATCCTATTGCCTTCCTCACATGTACTATTGTAGTATTGCGCTTGTACTTCTGCACGTACTTATCCTAAGTAAATTATCCCATAGAATGAACTAAATTGATAGAGATAATATGAAACTTCAATTATACAGCTCGAGAATCATTCCAAACATTGTTAAAAACTGGCAGAATAGAGAAAGGAGTTTCCATCTCATGTAAACTACAAAACAATGCTTATCCACTCAATTTCAATTTTATTGAGATTACCTCAAAGGTGAGCATACAGAGCTACTCAGCTGAAGAGCAAAATATTATAGAGAAACTTGTCCATGATTTAAGAATTAAAACACTTTGCGGTACAGAATTGACATATTGAAGCAGCTCTAATAATCTTTGTTCCCAAAGTTCTTGCACCACATCTGTGATGGAATGGAGCGGACAGGCTGATGAGGTCGTTGCTGCAGAAAATATAATCATAAGCATTTCTACAAGTGTATGGTATATGAAGGTGACATATATAAGAATATTTTACACAGCTCTTTCTGAACAAATAAAAGGGCTATCAAATGTAAAAACTGCCATTATTAATTTAAGGGGACTGTGACCGAAATAAACAAAAAACTATGCACTCATTTAAAGACATGAGATGAGTCCCTAATATTCATTTTTGTAACTGTATGATAATTGATAAGTCCCATTATTCACTCACAAAGAGCTGCACTTAAACTTTACTCCGTATATAAAAAAAAAAGCCTAAAAAAGCGGCCAAAGGGTCAAAACTAAGCAAGAGGACAAATCTTGAAGTTGGGGTTCGACTCCCACTTCACCTCTTGGTTAAGTGGGAATTGCTGTTTCTGAATCTAAATCCCAGCGTCCATCCATTGTGTTAAATCTAACCACCCCCCACCCTCCACTTGAAAAAATGTCTTGTCCAAAGCCAAATAATTAATTTTTTTTTAAAGGGTGTCTAGAAGAAATTAACTCCAACATAATGTACCAATTTGGTCAAGATATATTACAACAGCTAGGAATCTAGGACAAACAATGTCGGCATAATCTTACTTATTATTTTTGTCTGAAAAATTCTGATAAAAAATAGCCAGGACATAGATCAAGTTGATGGTTGCAATTTTGCAAAAGGTTCGCAAAGACACATCCCTTAAAAATTTAACGGGAATAGATTACCAGTTTTCAACAAACTACCCTTAAAGATTTAACGGGAATAGATTACCAGCTTTCAACAAGCTAAAGATTATTGTTGAGTACCTTTTATAAACTGCCTCTTCCAAATCATTAACAAAGAAATATTGTGATAGACAGCACAATATGGTCCATATCATATTCTTTTGAACTTTTCCTTTTCTTGTTTGGGAGAGAACTGCCTGGCAACACGCCTCCTTCACATTTTACAATCTCTCAAACCAAAGGCCCCCCGATACTCCACTAATTTTTTATAGCAGCAACTACTACTTTTAAACCTATAATTGTCATACTAGAATGCTGCATTGGCATTGATAATAACTAATAAAATTGGCCACATTGTATCAAGTTAATTTGCTCTCATCATGTATACGAAACCATTCTAACCCGCCAAGGCATCTACATTTCAGTTTGAGACAGTTAAGTCCTCAACATCATAAGCATGGCATAAGTCCATCCACCTAATATAAGCCCTTCATTACATATAAAATGCCCTGCATATCCCCCCATAAAATATACAAAACCATTCTATCCCGTCAAGGCATCTAGATCCATTGTGGTACAGTTTAGTGTTGAAGTCATCCACAACATAAGCATGGCATAAGTCCATCCACCAAATTTGAGCCCTTCAACTATACGCAATACCAAGCATAACACCCCCCCCCCACAAAAAAAAAAAAAAAAAAAAAAAATCCCTCATCAAGTATCTACAATTGTATCCCGTCAAGGCATCTACATTTCATTTTGAGACAGTTAAGTTCGCAACATCATAAGCATGGCATAAGTCCATCTACCTATTTTAAGCCTTTCAATTCATACATGATGTCCAGCAGGCCAGCATACTCCCCACCTCTTCCCACCCCCCCCCCCAAAAAAAAAAAAAAAAAAAAAATTCCCCAAGTTCTCCCACAAAGATAATACATGTCAGTCAATCAATCTCAGGAGACAACCCCCTCTCTTTTTCCCCCCTTCCCCAAGTTCTCCCACAAAGATAATACATGTCAGTCAATCAATCTCAGGGGAAAAGAAACTCAATTTAATCGAAGTATATTCAACCGAAGTATTTACCATCACATCTTTGAAAGTAGTTGCTTACATAAAAATTGAGGCGGAGGACTCCTTCCTCATCGCACCTGGTTCCCCTCCAGCTCACCCCACCCCCACCCTATTCCTCCCATTTATAATTGGCTATCACCACAACATCATTGAACACCAACAAACCCATCAAAAACAACAGTAACAGAACTAATTTATTTCGACTCCCTAACTCTACTTTATCATAGAACAGTCAAATTAATTGCAAATTCGGAACACAATTAGCATTCCATACATTAAAAGTTAATACAATTGACAACATTTTGAAGATCAATCACTCTAATTGCAAGAAAATCATTTGGGCAAAAGAGAGAAAAAAGACCTCAAGCTGAGCAGATTTCATGGCAATGGGAACACAAACGAGAAAAATGCCGGCGAGAGCGAAGACGGTATTACGACGCCAATGCTTGGGACGGCAATTGGGCCCACCTGAAAAACTCCACACCTTAGACCTAAAGTCTCCTCCATCGACATGACCACCGTCTCCTCCCATTTTCTCTCTCCTAAATTAATCTGCAAAATACCTGTAACAAAATATAACGGATCAATTTAAAGACCGAATCAAAACCCTAGATTGATTGGAATGTTGAAATCAGGAACCCTAAATTGGAAAGCATAGATTGAAAATTCGGAATATAAGAAATTTGGGGAAGAAAGAAGTGATTGCGATTGAAAGAGAGAGAAAACAAGAATACCTGAAGGCTGAGAGAAAAAACCCAGAAATTGATGAATGAGTTCAGTTGTGTTTGTTCACTGCGCTCACCAAGTTGAAGATGGAGCTCTAATATTTGAGTCTCTATAGTAGATTTTGTTTTTCTTTTTTGATTTTTTTTTTTTTAATGAATTGGAAATTTTGACTTTTATATGGAACATTTTCACCTTTTAACACAAAAAATATTGGATTTTTTACCAAATTGAGCTTAACACATAAACTATTTACCAAACTAGACACCTGGCCGGTGTGGATGGTGAAGTGGTGGTGGTAGTGTCGAGAAGTGTTGGAGGCCGGTGTGGATGGTGAAGTGGTGGTGGTGGATGCCGGTGGGGATGGGAGGTGGTGGTTGATAGTGGTGGCGGTGGTGGTGGTGGTGGATGTGAAGAGATGGTGGTGGATGGAAATGGTGGTCGTGGTGTCAGGAGGTGTTGGAGGGGCGGTGTGGATGGTGAAGCGGTGGTGATGGATGTCGGTGGGGATGGGAGGTGGTAGTGGAGGAGGGTGGTGGTGGCTGAAAGAGAGCTTTGAGTGGTGGAGGATGACTGAAACTGGGTTGGGGCTGCTGCTGTTGGCTGCAGTCAGCCAGCAGATAAAACGTTGCCTCAGACAGCGTTTTATAGCAATGCTAAAATCCCTCCCACATTTAAAAAACCAAATACACAAAAAACGCTGACTAAGGCAGCGTTTTTAGTATTTTCAGTTTTTTTTAATTTAATTTGTATTTCATAAAATACGAAATTTAAAAAATAAAATAAAAATAAAGGGATAAAACGCTGACCGAAGCAGCGATTTATCTCAAAAGCTTAGTTTGGTAAATAGTTTGGCCACGCGTCTAGATTGGTAAATTGTTTGTGAAATTAACTCAATTTCGTAAAAAATCCAATTTTTTCCCAAAAATAATTCAAGGATACTTGCATGGGATTTGTTAAACATCGCCCACAAATTACTATATAAAGCCCACAAAATAGACTTGTTTTGACACTTTTGCCCATTTGTGAATTCTTGCCAAAAACGATAAATTCTGACATCGAAAAATGTGGAGCCGTAATGGGTCCCCGCAGGAGGCCGGAGAGCCGAGGGACGCCGAAGAGCCGTCGTCGTCGCAGCAAAACGAGGTAAAACATCCTGGACCACCGCCGTCATGGCAGTGGCGCCTGCCAGGACGCCGGCACCATGGTGGTGGCGCATGGCCAGGACGCCGGAACCGTGGTGGTGGCTTCCAGGCTAGGCGCCACAACCACGGTTCCGGCGTCCTGGCCAGGCGCCACCGCCATGGTGCCGGTGTCCTGGCCAGGCGCCACTGCCATGGTGGTGGTGGTCCAACCAGGCGCCACTAAGTTTTTTGTTTTTTTTTTTTTTTTTTTTTTTTTTGTATTTTTTTTTTTTGTTTATAAATTAGATAAATTGAAATTATTAAAAAAAAAATGTTTAACTTGAAATTATGTTTTAAATATTTGTTAATAAATTTAATTTATAATTTTGTATGTGGAAATTAGATTTTGAATTTGTTTTTTGCTTTTTTTGTTTATAAATTTGTTAAATTTAAATTGTAAAAAAAAAAATTTAACTTGAAATTATGTTTTATATATTTGTTAATAAATTGAATTTATAATTTTGTATGTGGAAATTAGATTTGTGTTAATAATTTACAAAAAAATTAATTATGTTTTAATTTTGTATCTGTATGAATACTTTTACACATAATTATGTTTTAAGTTTGTATGTGTATGAATACTTTTATAAATGATTATGTTTTAATTTTGTATGTGTATGAATACTGTTATACATAATTATGTTTTTAATTTTGTGTCAATTATGTGTAAATATATAAATTAAATGTGTTATGCGTTAAATATTGAAATGAAATTTACAAATTAAAGATGTAGATATTAATTATGTGTTAATGTTGTGTTAAATGTATTAATTTATGCTTTACAAAATTATATGTATTTAAATATAATATGTAATTAATGCAGGATTATGGTGGAGACGGAAATGATTACAGTGGGATATTTGTACATGATGGTCCGTTCGAAGATGCTCAACAAGCGATTGATTGGGCTAAACAAGTTGCAATTACTTCTGGTTTTTGCTTGCTAGTAACAAGTCATAAATCTCAACAAGATGGTAGAATGGATCGCATTTTGAGATGCGACCGTTATCGCAGAAGAGAAGAAAGAGATTTTAGTACAGTCACTCGGTTTGATACAAAGCGGAAAGGTTGTGGGTGTGAGTTCAGAGTAAAGGTTCGGCAACTAGAGAGTTGTGAAGGTTGGGAAGTGAAGGGTTACTCCAAATGGGGGTATCACAACCATGAGATGATAGTATATGAAGTGGGTCATCGACAGTTGAGCGGCTTAAGTCCTGCTGCAAAACTGGTTGTCAAAGAAATGAGTGATGCTCAAGTGAAGCCTGCTAAAATATTAGCATCTGTGCTAGAGAAATTTCCTGAGGACCAGCCAAACCGAAGACACATCTACAACGTCAGACAGCAACTGAGGTTTGAACGGTCAGAGGGAAGGAACCCTATACAGCAGCTTCTACACCAGGCACAAGCACGTGGCTACCTGTTCTGGTATAATTCTGATGAAGATACAACGGAGGTGACTCATCTATTCCTTGTGCGTCCTGATTGTGCTGATATAATCAAGTCTTGGCTATCTGTGATTTTGATCGATTCAACGTACAAGACAAACAAGCACAGGTTCCCACTGGTTGAGATAATTGGGATGACTCCAATGAACCAGAACTTTCTAATTGGTCATGCAGTCATCAAGGATGAGACGGCTGCGAGTTATTATTGGGTCTTGGAGAAGCTGAGAAACTACATAGGCCCTAATGTTCAGCCATCAGCCATCGTCAGTGATTGTGAGGGAGGTCTCTTTGCCCCCATAGCAGAGCTGTTTCCACAATCGAAGCACTTGTTGTGCACATGGCACATCAACAACTGTGTCAAAGTGAAAGCTTACAACCTTTTCAACAAGAATTTGGAAATGGCAGAGAGATTGGTGAATGGTAAGTGGCGGAAGATCTTACAAGCTACCACAGAGGCAAATTACGATCGGGAACTGGCTAACTTCACAGATTCGTACCAATGGTGTCCGCCACTGGTTAACTATGTGATGCAGCAGTGGACACCTCACAGGGAAAAGTTTGTCAAATATTGGACAAACCAAGTACTTCATTTTGGAAACACTACAACATGTAAAGTTGAGAGTGCTCATAGAGCTACGAAGGATTGGACTGATTCTTCCACCGCTGCTCTGGATACACTGTTCGAGAGAATAAACAAGGCAATTGAAACTCAGAAGAACGGCATCAAGAACTCTCTGGAGGACTCTAGGCGGCGACATGGTACGATGTATAGCCATTTCATATTTAAGATTCTACATGGGCGTGTGTCACACGACTGCTTGGGGTTGATTCTGACCGAGCACAACAGGATGAGGGAGTTGGCTGATGAAGTGAATGTTCGGTGTGGATGTGCTATATCAGTAACTCATGGATTACCTTGCGCATGCACCATTCACCGCGTAATTACCCAAGATAGGACGTCGTTACACGTTGATCAGGTTCATCCATTCTGGCGGTCGCTCGTTATTGGTGAGCATGCAGATACGCAGACGGTCGACCATGAACAGGAGGAGTTGGAGCAGTTTCGTTCGATGTATGACCGAGTGTCCTCCAATCATCCTTCCATTATTTGTGATGCTACTCACGTACTTCATGACATGTTCAACACGTCTTGCTTAGATCACGAGGAACCTGAAGGGGTCGAGCGACCTAGGGGTCGCCAACGGCGGAACAGGAGTGCGTTTGAGTACATTCGTGGTCGTGGTCGTACATCGTCATCCAGTCGTAGCCAGTCGTCTTCGTCTGTGAATATGCCCGGCACTGGTACAATAGCTTACTTTAAATTACGTTTTATAATGGTTTTGAGTTTATTGCTCACTTGTTCACTGTGTTTATTGATATGTTCCACAAGAAGATTTGCTATTGATCAGTTTCCATACAAGGATAGGATACCTAACATCATCATGTCGTACTTGGACGGGTGGAATAACGTAGTTGGAGATGGTAACTGCAGATTCCGGGTCGTGGCTGATGTGTTTCAGATGGGCGAAGACAACTACGGTTTAGTGCGTCAGTTGATGTACAGTGAAATTGCCTCTAATCGAGATGTTTATCGTCATGTGTACCAGGACGGCTTGGATAGTGCTCTGCGGCGTATCCGGTGGGGAGGAGGACCTTGCGGTCTAAATCACTATTTCGACGCGCCACTAGATCTCTTTGCCGTTGCAAACATTTACAAGTGTGCAGTAATGCATTTCGGGCTGGAATTGCATAGTCGAGCTTATTTTCCTTGTACAACGGTTCTCCCTTGGTCTTCCCGTGAGACCGTCACTACACCGGTCAGAGAGTTAGCTATTGCATTTCTTGGGTCGTCATACAAACATTTCATCCAACTGGACCTGTCATCCGATTTTCCTGTCCCACCGATCATACCTCGGTGGTACGACATCCGCACAGCAAGCGTAGAGGGTTGGGATGCGCTATATCATGACCGGATTCATCAATGGAACACCCTAGCAGCTTTTTAGTTTTTCATTGGTACTCTATTTCTATGTAATCTTATTTTTGCGCTGCTTATTATCCTCGTACTGTACTGTCAAATGTTATAAACTAAAACAATAATTTCAAATGTCAAAAAGTAAAACATGAATTTTAAATGTTAAAAACTAAATCGATTGTATTAAATTCTAAAAACTACAAAGATAACGTTCTATTTCACAAACTAATATCATAATGTTAAAAATGTTCAACAAAAAAAATGCCAAAAACATCAGTAATCCCTCTTCGCCGCCGACTCCCAATGCGCAAGGGTCTGTTCCAACTCATCAACAGCAGCTCTCCCTGGTGCACTCATGCTGTCCTTCTCCAGGGAGAGTTTTTGAACGCCTTGCATTATCTTTCCCATCCACTACACAAAACAAAAAATAAAACATGAAATTAAATAACGGTATATAAAACTTTATAAAAACGCAACAATAAATTGTTGTTCAGATATACCGCATCTACGACAGTTGGCGGTGGCATATCATGGTCGTCGGCGTCATCGCCATGGTCGAGGTCTC